CCATAAAGAAGATAAATCAATGCGATTGATAGTATCTATGAGAGAAACTATGGGTTCATCAATAGCGAAATATATCATGAACATAACAAAATCGTTAGCAGATAACGCACGTTCAGTCAAAAATACACAAGGTTTAATAAACAAGTTGTACAAACTTAAAGTTAAAAAAAGTAGTAAACTAGCGAGTTTAGATGTTAGCGATTTATTTACTTCGGTCGATCGAAAGAAAGTGTTAGATACGTTTAGCAAATTGCTAGATAACGATGAGTCGTGGAAGACTAAAACGAGTTTGAGAAAAGAAAGCCTAATAAAATTGGTTGAATTTTGTATAGAAAAGGTTAGTTTTCAATTTGGAAATAATTTTTACAAACAGATTAAAGGTCTGCCGATAGGGTGTTCAATCTCGCCATTTCTAGCGGACATAGCTTTAAATGAATTTTTGTTGTATAACTGGGATTATCAAAAATATCCTTATATCGGATTAGCAAGATATGTTGATGATATACTGTTAGTTTCAAAAATGGAGAAAAAGGAAATCCAGGAATTAGTAGCAGATCTAAATAGAAAAAACGATTTACAATTTACTTTTGAATATGAAGTAGAACATAAGATAGCATTTTTGGATGTCAGTATTCAGATCCTAGTACTAATAGTACTACTTATGTGTCTAAAGTGATAGCAGGGGTGGAGACCGGGATATATAAAAAGAGTTTAGGAGATAAAGAAGATATTGTAAGTGAGGTGAAAAGAGTACTAGAACAACAGCTAGGGTTTGATAAAACAGGAAGAAGTGAAAATCTTTCGAAAAGTCAACGAAAAGCGATAAAAACATTGAAAGAAGATGAAAATACCATCATTATACCAACGGATAAAGGAGGAAAAGTTGTAGTCATGAATGTAGAGGATTACATTAAGAAAATAAAGGAGAAATTAGACACAAAAGCGTATCAAAAATTAGATGAAGATCCATCGAAAGGTATATATAAACGATTAGAAATACTGCTATCAGAATTAGTGGGAAAACAAGAAATAGATAGAGATGAAATGAATATGATGCTTGAAAATAAAAACTTACCGTTTGTTCGGGGACAGTTAAAGGTCATAAAGAAGATAAATCAATGCGATTGATAGTATCTATTCGAGTAAGATCTTCAACGATAAACGCATTCGACTTGTTTTGTTTTAACAGATAAGTTGCACCAAGTATTTATTGACGGAGTGAACGACTATAGAATCGTAAGGTAATAGGACGACCTTTTCCACGAATAGGTTTGTGAACACGATGATAGTTTTCACATAAATTTATATTCAAATTCTTATTAAGAAATGCTGTGATTTGATTTGGAATAATTTCATTTCTATTTTCCTTAAAACCCAAGAATCTTAATGACCATATTCTGTGATATCTTTCTGAGTTATCCGTTTTTGATTCAACGGCAGTTAAACCTGGGTTTATATGTTTACTGACTGAAGCTAATAAAACTTCAGCAATTTTTAGTGTTATGATATTCCAATCATTATTATTTGTTGTAATGACAATTGTGATGGTATTTTCGATGTCCAACTACTTTTTATTTGTTCAATCTTAGAATTCTTCAAATCATTTAGTGAAAAAGGTGTTAATATCATTCGACCGCTTTTATTTCCTGATTGTAAATTAGTTGTTGTATTTTTCATATTTAGTAATAAAAAATAAACTAGTAACTGTATGAGTAATGTATTTATTATTTGCGACGGGAAAAGAAAATTCAAAAAGTTCAAATTATATGTTAATTTAACTGTATATGTGAATATTATGCAGTGAGGCAAAATAAAATACGTAACTTTTTGCATATACGTATACTGAGTAGAACGCTTAGTCTTTCAAATTAAAAAGCGTAGATAGGTCTACAAGATGGACATCATCCATTTCAAGGTTATGATGTTGCTAGGTGGACAGATGTGTCTCCATAAGCGGAGATCAATTTCTCTTATGGGAGATTTTCATGGAGGAAACAGCTGATTTGCAGAACTGAGAACTAGGATGAATACAAAGTTAACGTGTACTAATTTTCATTCTTCGACTTTAAATAACAAAGAACTTCTCAAGAGTATTTGTGAAAGTGAAAGATATGTACCTAGAAGTAAAAAATTACGTTTAAATTGATCATTTCTTGAACAAAAGATATTTGCCTTAAATTTTATGTTTTCTCATAGTAATATTCGAAAAACCAGAATAAAAGAATATACTCACGTGCCTCTAATTTTCTCAATGACATTGCACGACAAATAGTGTGTTTTGTGTTGTTCCCCTTTGTACAAAAAAACAGTTCCTCTTTACCTTCTTTTTAGTTGGCATCCCTGTGTTGGTGCCGACAACTTTCTTGTCATTATAAGCTTTGATAGAGTAAGAAACGAAAAACTATTATTAGAACCGCAGTGCCTTAACTGAAGACTCCTTGAACCCAATTTATACCTTGGAATTTTAAATTTGAATATTTTCTGTAGAAAAGGTCGCTTCAACTATAAAACTAGTTTTTGGCAATTTTTTTGATCTAAGCCAATGAAGAAACAGGAGAATTCGAAGCAGTTGTGGACTCCCAGATCTACAAAAGCCCGGGGAATCCTATACAAACTTCCGAAAGTTCGAGAAACTGGAGGAATCCCTGGGAGTACAAGAAAAAATCGGAAAAAAGGGATTAGAATCCGATGAAATTTGTAAAAATGACTGCTAAGCGGAAAAATTCAAAACCAGTCAGAAAAATTCTTCGGGCTCAGCGAAGTCATGAAGAATACCGACGAGTCTCCAGGAGTACAACAAAATTTGGAAAAAATTGATTGCTTGTGGAACGGAGCCCAGATTACAAAAGTCACAAAATCTGCTGTTTCCCCCTTGTCTAAAGCACACATAAAAAAAAGCATTGAAAGAAAGAATAAAAAATAGAAAGACATACACACAACACACAAAATAAAAGAAGTAGGCTTTAGTCTCCCAAATGTCCCCTTTAACTACATCCATACATAAGCACAGACATCCAGGCGTACAGCACCCAATTTTTAACTGCTGATGTTGTGTTTGTTCATCTCTGCAGAGACGTTCCATATCGTCCGCCAAATTGTTCATGTTGTGTTTCATCGTTTAAGAAGTAGTAACTTTAGTCGTTCGAGAAAAAAACAAATACAGACTATATGTGCACATTGATCAATGACTTTAAGTCAGATGGCTGATAAATTAGAGAACTAAAATAAACTTGTGTCTTTCCATCGTGTGACCTATTAGAATGAAATAGAAATAAGGAATATAACCGTTTCAATATCATACGTAAACTATTCTTTTTCAATACAACTTTAGTAATTAGAACAATACAGTTTAATTATTGGAAAAAAGTACATTTAATTCTAGTTATGTCTTATGTTTCGGTGACAGCAGTTTCTTTTGATTTAGCCCTTTTTAAATAAAACCGTGAAAGTACTCCGAGTATTTACGCTGTATGAGATTTTCGCTGTAAATACGGCGAAATACTGATCCAGCAAAAGACCTCGTACGACGAAAATTCGAGACAGGGAAACTGCACATTATCGTCATAGTTCTCGGATAGCATCAGGTTCCCTAAGACATCTGTAATTCGTTTCCATTACGTCTGGAAACGAAGAAGGAAGGGAGAATATCCCGTCTTGCGACTACCGTTACCGGTGTAGGGTACTGCCATGGCAGTTTCAATAGTCCGATATCTTCCCTGTAGTTGACAAGCTTCTGAAATGATCATCCATCATTTTTACCCATAACAACGAGTGCGAGTACAGTTGATAGGTCTAATTTAGCATCAATCACATAAAATACCAAGTAGGATATACCTAAATGTAAGAGTTATTTCAACTTCAAGCTCATTATTAATTCTGTTTAATAGAAATACACTAATTAGACCACAAATAAGACCGAATGCTGGATCTCGTAGAATAGAGTGAGATATGAACACTATTTTTATATTAACTTACCAATAGTATACCTAACAATTTCAATAACGATATGTTTTGCACTATGATCATCTTCAGTTATTGAATACTAAAAATAGCACAAAAGCCCAACCATCATTTAATAGAGATTCTAAATCAATTAGTGATGCTAGAGATTTACTTGCACCGGAATCATGCAATAGAACTACTACGGCTATTTGATCCGTTACACTCAATATGCTACCAAATAATAATCGGGCACAATTTAATTTCAACTCATATCCATGGAACATGTATATATCATATAAAGCACGAATGCTTGTTGTCATACATACTCTATAGGACTATTATAGCGGAGACGAGTTGTACTTTAATGATATGAAAGTAGCCATTGAATTAAAATTGTGTCATGATAAAAATAATATAATAGATTAAACGGGGGTTAATGTGGCCGAATTGAATTTCATCGTATAAACAATCATTATCAACTTGTTTAATTTGTATAACAATCATATCAATGGTGAAACCGAGTATTAAAAGAGCTAAAGTAAATGGGACAGAAATTTTACTTTTTAGTAATCTGTAAAATATCATTTTGCATATGCATACTTAGAGAAATGGCAAACGATAGAAATAGTATAACTGAACTGTTGCCTGCGTTACTACCGAAAAAACTTACACGACTGGTATCAGCAAATGACTTATGTAAAACATATTCGATGGTTCATCGACTTATTATATAGTTAAAATGACTCCCTACAATTGGTGTAATGAAATCAGTGTGATTATTTATCTTAAAGTTATTTAGGCAAAGTTTATAAAACATTACGGAGAGGTACTTAACAAACGAAGAACAGAAAACACATATTTTTTATTTAAATAAATATAAAAAAGTTAAAAAGAAACTTTAAAAAGCTTTTTTGATACACAAAAAGTGCGTAATAAATAAATAAAATAAAATTAACACCATCCTGTAAGATAAATTAAATACTTTCCACTATTTTGTTCTACGTACATCATAATCTTAGCAATAAACTTCAGTTGAAATTTTAAATTGCAAAACGAAATCGTACATAGAATAAATCAACTAATTTTTGGCTTCAATTTTGAAACAAAATCTCAAGATTTAAGCTCTACGTCGTTTTCAACCAGTCATATAATGTGAAAGAGACCATATATCAGTTAGAGAGTTATTGTAAACATCATGCATAGGTATACTAATAATAAACAATGTATTTCCACTAAACATTTCAGCTGCTTCACGATCTTTAGATGTCGATGTAAAAGCTAACCATCTAATATCTTTACGAACAGCCTGTTTATATTCTTCAACCGTTTCATTCTTAAGAGTACAACCACAATAAACAGTTACAATAAATAAACAAACAATCCAATAAATGATCTTACAACAAATAACAATAAGCACTCAATCTATCAATTTTAGACATATCTTCGTTTCTTAAGGTTGAATTAACCAATATATACAAAAATTATTCAATTGAATAAAGACGCGCAGTACATTTAAAAGTTTCTTCCTCTGATTTATTTTTCACATTTCTTAGTCGATCAGCCATTAGTTGAGCTTCGAATTCCTTATGCAATAATTTACCGTCTTCTAAAATGCCTAGAGTTTTTATAATATAAGAGGAGACAAATAGAATTTCTGATCTGACAAACATAATGAAAAGATAAAATATTACCTTTAACAATTTATTCAACAATTTCTGGATAATCATTTTTATGAGCTAATGCTAAATTTCTCTTCTTCCATTCATCAATAAAATCAGATCCCAAGTTT